TTTATCGAGTACCTTTCCCCTTTAACAAATATGTTCCTCTCCACTCGCTGGGTTCCTGTAAGTTCCGGAAACGTCACACGATTCGTTGGCGACGTCCTGTGGAACGGCCGTCCGTACGTTTCACTTTTCAAGCTCCCAGGAGTCTGCTGATCAGAAGCAGCTGACTACACAGGTAGCGCTCCAGCCGTGACCCGCCCAGACGTCGGCGTTATCGACGGTTGGAACAAAGGATAGAACGCGCTCTGCCGAGACGCTCCACTCTCTCCGCTGCTCCCGTTGAGACCAGGTACTTGATAGAACACACCTTTATACGAGAGAATGGTAGTCATCAGCATTCCGACGGATGTCATCACCCTCGGGGCCATGGGACTCTGGTACCCAGTCATCGGCGACGTCATCTGTTGAGTCGAAGCTGGCGCGGGGGATACGGGCTCCGTTGCTTAAGCTTGTGGTCTCTGCACCGGTGCTCCACTCGCCAACAAAATCCTATGTAGCGTTTGGCCGACGCTGTCGGTCAGGAAGGTCTGCAATGCTTGATCAGCCGCCTACATTCCGGTTCCTCTCGTCGGCGTCACTATCGGTCGATCTGGCGTAGTGCCTTAACCTCCCATCGGTAAGCTTGCTGACGCTATCATCTCAGCTGGGTCAAGGCATTCCACTGTACCCCAGTATGTTCCTAGGGCGCCTCTGTTTCCTTGCTACGGCCGGTGGGGCGCTTTCGCTGTGTAGGACGTACGCTGGCCTGGTCGTATGCACATCTCCTCGTGAGCCTTCCGCCGATTGCAACAAGGGAGAAGGGTGAAGACCCACCCTTCGGCAAGCTCCCGAAGCCATCATTGTAACTCTCATCGTCGCATTCGTCTTTGTCCTTGTAGGTTTCGGTCCTTCACTATGCTCAAATTATCGTGCCAATTGTTCCAGGAACTCGTTGGAAAGTCCTCGACCTCGGTGCGGCTCGAGTACGGGCTCAGCCGTTTTCATCGTCCTCGGAGACGGGGGCGCGATGTCGAATATGCTCTCGACCTCGTTTTGATCCGTATGAGATGTGTGACCACCAGTCCGGGAAGTACTCTTCGCGGCGCTCTACGTTCCGTGCCGTCTCCTTGATGCTCCCATGCCTGAGCCGACTGCTGCATGTCGCCGCCAGCAGCCCCCACAGCGCACACTTTCTCTTCCTCCTCGAGGATCTCTGTGGGCTCCGTTTCTAATGGGCGAGCCCACTCCCTGCCTCTTCATTGGTCTAATCGATGTGCCCTTTACTGGAATAACCTTGGCGCTCATTGCGTCCCGCCTCCTTTCTCCTTCCTCCTTGGTGTTTCGTTGTCAAGTAACTCATGTGCTTCTACGCTCCCACAATATTCGACAAAAAGATATCTCGCTTCTCCACCAAACTATCTCGGTTTTCTCTAAATCAGGGTCGTGTACCGTATATCACGACAAACATGTAACCTCTCTAAAACAACTTAATACGTATATATATTTTTACAAAGCATAGATATATCAGGTATACCTACGGCGTAGGCTTTTTACATCACCAAATTATCCACTTTTACGATGTTACATGATTGCTGTGATATACAGTATCTTGCTTGGGCCGACGTAGGAAGTAGAAAGGGCGAAGCTATAAAGAGAAAAAATATACGTTAATGTATTCTTGTGGAGAAATTCACAGCTGAACTTCTCACAAACGGTAACAAGCTCCGTAACTTTCTGAGGATCCCGCGCAGGTAGCGGTCCAAAGTAAATACCCGCCACAATCCGTCGCCTATCGTTCCACTTTGACTTTGGAGCGTCGTCGGCTTCGTCGGACGTCCCACTTGCTTGGACGTGATGTGAAGAGGCTGGAGCGAACAGACCTTTTAAATGCAGTCGACCAGAATGGTAAGTCCTCTATCTAACTGTATACCGTGACAGAACCAACGAAAATTTGCATCCTACGAAACGAAAGATGCGAGAAAAAGTATCAAAATGATCAGATTATCGTTTCGTGCTGACCTGTTTAAGCGCTCTATTGTCTAGAACAGCTCACCTACGTAAGATCGGAGGCTTTGCGTGTGGCTGCTAATAACTAATTTTTAGCATCAGTATAGCTTTTTTGTTAGGAATATGCAGCAAAGTACCCTCTCACATTCTTAAAAAACAGCTTTTGACTTAGCAACTTGAGGTCCGATTGACCAAAGTTTGAGAACTGCACAATAGCAGTACAGTCAAGGATGCCGAATAGTGCATTTTATTCTATTGCACAACATAGCGGACAATAGATTATTGCATGTGAGTCCTGAAGACTGAAGTGGAGAAAGGCTCCGTGTGATCAGTAATTGATGGATAGATAATTAAACTAGACAAACCCGGAAAATAGATATTTGTTGCAATAATGTGCCAATATACTGTGTGCTAAGCCTCGTACTATCACTCCGCACTCTCCAGTGTACGGACGTCCCAATAGCTTGCATTTTGACGACCAGAAGCATTTCCAGCGTGTACGGCTGAAGCATGTATGTTGCTGCCCATACGCAACTCTAGCGATACTGAAAAAGCGCTCGACGATGGTTGACATGGGAGAGATGAGGCGACCAGATCTTACGAGGGCTGTCGCTCTTCCGGCCGGCGGCGCTTCTGGGCCCTCTCGACGAAGGAAGCGTTCGTGTCTGGCTCCTCCTCACCAATCGCTCCATCTCGCGCACGTGGATCCACCGTAATTCTTTCGAGCGCAGTCTTTTCCGCCCTGGTCAGACGGATGGCTTGGCCCTTCAGCACTTGAACACGTCTGGATTGCAATCTGAACTGTGGGCAATATCAGCCCTATACCCTCACTAACCCTTTTGCTTCCTATAGTAGGTCAAGTAAATTGCACTCCATAAAAAAGCTGACATTTTCGTAAAATCAACACAGTGTGCTGTTTTGCTGACATATACCACACTGGCGTCTATCACTTTGAAAGGGGATTACAATGGCTCTCTAGCCATCAAAAACAAAACCAACACTTCCTGCGTGTTTAACGTCGTGGCTGCTGATTGGAGACAATACGGTAAATATATCGAACCATTTTGAGCAAAGGTGAAACTTATTCGTAACGTCATTGGCCATAACTAAAAGGGCTAGCTCCTTCGAGCCAGATAAATACCACATGACTTGCCGCCTACTTTTGCAAAACATGCAGCTTTCGTTGGTAATAAATAGCTAGTCTAGTATTAGTTTATACTACGGTAATAGCAGAACAAAAACGTTTTTACCTAGTTAGCGAGCAAACGATGGCATTTCGGCTATAAGGCTGCCAAACCTTACTTCAACGTCGACCTCCTCGACGTTGAGGTCTTCAACGTCGACCTCCTCGACGTTCGAGACATGTAGCGCCTTTGCCACTAACTCCACGTCCTTGAGCTCGCCCAGTAGGTCGCGCAAACGCCGTTCGGATGTTGCGTGCGGCAGCAGCTCCGCCGGCTCGTCGTCCTCCGAACCTATAATGGAAGAAGCTTAAAGTACCTGCTGGTCATGACATTCGAGGCAACGAGTGTGCTAACGTATGATTAGAGGTTCGTGCTAAACCTATATTCATTCATTTATCAAAAATTACTGTTAGGACACCGGTCTTGCAAACATTTTTACAAAAATTGTCAAAAATCGCTTTGGAGCTTAGCAGAGTAATGGAGCGTACGCAGCTCAATCATGACCGCTTGAATACTGTCAAGGTCTCTCGCATACTCGCTTAAACGCTGGTAAACTGCTCTGTTAAGTCTGTGACCCGCACGCCCGATCAGTGAAACTCCTACTACGGCGATTAACGAGACAGTTGTCTCCTACTAAAAAGAGACACTGCTCCAGGTTCTAGAACGCACGATGAGTGGCCGCAGGCTTGTCTTCGTTGACGAGCGAAACCATACCCAAAAGGAGACAGCAAAGTGTCCAGGTCACCTCGTAGCTCGCGAACCCCGCGGTAAATGCTCTGAGGTATGGCTCCATCCGTCAAAGACGAGCCCAAATCGTTCGGGCAACTCCACAGCGATCGATCACCCTACTGCTCGAGTCACAGTCTCCATAGCCTGCCGGAGTGTCTCTACTGAGACATGCCGTAGGCTGCTGTATCTGACGTTGCATTACAACATTTGAGACGCGTTAATTATCTTAAAAAAATGAAAATGTAACTAAGCGTACCGTCGCTCTCGCAGAACTAGAGCGGTAGGTTGCACTTGACCAGTAACTCCAGCCACCCCAACGTGTTTTGAGCAGTCTGGCTCATGTAGTGGACAGCAGACCCAGTCGGGCCAGGCGTAACTGCTAGAATCTCCTCAGTAAGGGAAGAATGCACCCGCCTTATATGCTGCATTAGGTTCGTGAAGCCAGCTCCAGCGACTCGCCTTCGAACCGTGCCGCACCTGTGGCGGTAATACTCGAGGATTGCCTCGTCGCACTGGTCACGGCACGGCCGGAAGTAACATTTGGCGACTTGACTATTAGTGAAGGTGGCAAGAGCGGCAGCGCGGGGAGCGGCGAGCATCTTGGAGGCTGGCGGTGGTGTTGGGCTTCTTATAAATTTGGAAGTGAGGAAGTTATATATGCTGGCGCTGATGTGGGGCTAGATTTTGCGGTGGCATCTGTCCTGGAGGTGACTGGTGGTAGTTTGGTCTACTACAGATTATTGAAGTGATTCGACTGGCCCAATAGATAACTGCTATTTCCGAGTACCTATCGGTTAATGTTAAAAATAGATTATTGCTTAGCAATAATTGCAGCATCAATTTCTGAGTGGAGTGACGATTATTATCGAGCTTACACGACGATCCCACATTGCGTTTACGAATTCGTGCAATAAAACTCGATCTAAGTCCTCTTTGAGCAGAGTCAGATCTTTAACCTGCAGACGAACCATGATCCCCATATATGCTTGATTCTGCAGCAACCCTGTCGACCTACAGCCACACTCACGGTTTCGGTCTTCGTTGATAAACTGTTTATAATTAGAGCCAAACAGTGCTCACTCTTCAATCCTGAACAAGAAACCCATGACAACTAATGGACGTCCACCACGCCCGAAGGCTCACAAGCCACAAGTAACATGGTCGCCAATGTACTCGCCCTACGCTGGCTCCGTTCGAGCAAGTCCTCGAACTACTAAACTCACCCAACCCGAGCATCGAGGTCCTTCTACGACTCGACCGAAGCGACCCCTTTCAGCATCACAAGTGGCGTCAACTACAAGTAGTCGAATGGCACAGACGTCTCCACGTCCGAGTTCAGCTCGACCTGCTCGTCCGACGAGTGCCAGTAGAGCACGATACATGCAAGTCGAGACTATCGCATTCCCAATGCAAAGCTCTACCTTGGCTACTTGTGAAGCATGTTTGTCGCCTTCAGAGATGGGAGTACTACAAGAAGCAGACTCGACGGCGATGCAGGTGAAACTTTACGCTCTTCTGGAAATGTGGGGAGAAGAACATCTTAATTTCCGCTCTTCCGCGTTATTTTGTGAGACGATGTTCAAGCAGGCTAAAGCTATGGCCAGTAGAATGCCGCGTCCTAATGCATTCGTCTCAGCTGTGGCGTTTGCTTGTCTGACTCAAATTGGGGCTGATCTCGACGAAGAGTACCCATTTCTTACCAAAATTATTGAGGAATTGGGTACTGCGGTATATTCAAATTTTGGAGATCTCCAAAATCTTGAGGAACGTCGCTCTGCTCTCTTTTTCCAGCACGGTAAACCTTGGTTCCAAGAAATGACGATTCAGAAAACGCAGTGTAAAAGCTTTCAAAGCTCGGTTGATGCAAGTAAAAACGAGATTTTACTGCTTAAAGAGATGCTCCAAGAAGCTCGCAATGCCAACTCAACGGTAGTCGCATCGGCTACTACTGAAAAAAGGGCTTCACAACAAGATACATTCGACGAATATTCAATCCCTCCGGTACTTCGCTTAAGCGATTTGAGTGTGGAATCAATGAGTGAAGAAGTGCTGAGAGTTTTTACCGAGATTTCGGATTCCGATGCGCGCCATCTGCTCTCGTTACTACTGGAAAACGCAGTGGAGCGGGATATGCCCAAACTTCCTGATATGTTAGCGACTTCTGTTGGAGATATGAAGGGACAAGAGAGAAGAAATTTCTTACGAGAGTGTTTTGACTACGTTACCCCAAGTGAACTTCAGGATATACTACACGAACGAGACGAACTAAATGACGATAAACGTTATCAGATTCTGGTCGACGATCTCCACGAATTGTTGCAGATGCAACCAAAGGACACGGATCAGGAGACCAAACGCAACTGTGCTACTTCGGTGGCGTTATTTCACTCAGAAGAGGCGAGAATTGGGAAGAGAGTGCACGAATTGGTGGAGCTAGTAGAGGATGTCGCAACCGAGATTTCATTTTTTGAACCGAGGCATAAAAGCCTATTTACAGACCCATTACTAGAACGACTTCGACGGTACGAATGCCCAGTAAAGCGATTAAAAAAAAGTCACGAAATAATGCGACAGAGGCCTCAAAATGTCGATTGTGAGTGCACTTGTGGTCGACATAAGCTGATAGACAAGGAAGTCACTAAAGAGCCTCAAGTCGCTCCCGACGTACCAATTGAAACAGAGCAAAATGAAGAAGTAAAAACGCCAAAACCACGACGAAAATCAACCTTAAAACGTCCGTTATCTGCGCCCTCGGGGCGTCGAAAGAACGCCATCAGCTTCAACACTCGCTTGGACGCTCCGCGTAAATCGAGCGCTTTTATCCACGTGTTCCCTCTCGCTGAAGTGTGCCATCTGCTATCAGCAATCCTCCATCTTCAATTCTCGAGAGATGCTGTTGAACCTGTTAAAGCTCGAAATGGAGATATATCACTCATGTTTGAAGACCGGTTTGACTTTTTGAAACCAGACGCGGGATCTAGAACCTTCAAGATGCTCGCCAAGGATTATTTGGTACGCAAATATGGCATCAAATCAATCGCCGTCATGCACACTATGCAACTGGAGCGCTCATTACTGCACTATACTGCCAAAGACAACCACGTTCGCTGCGAACTCTTTAGCTGGTTCTTTGGTGCCGACAAGACCCGGACTCAGTCGAAAGACTACGCCTTTGCATTCTTCCAGAAACTCATCAAGTGTATCTTAAACTTGTACGCAGCCAAGAAGGCAGCTCGATCCAACTCCGTTACTAGTATTTCGTCCCCAATATCTTCACAACCTCAGCCATTAGCGTACTCTGCGTTGATTACAATGTGGACCGAGTATATCGGAGACGGAGAACCTTCAAGCCCTCGAACGATTCCGACGCCTTTAGCTCTTGAGACCTGCAAGCAAACTTTTCCTCCAGTTCTTCAGCGTAGTAGCCACTTCACGTTATCCCAAGAACAGCTGCATCGCCACAGTTTAGAGGAAAAAACTATTGAGCTCGAAGAATTTCTGCGTTTGGCGATGATAACGTGGCAACTGATTTTTGATGGCTACCTTCAAGAAGTGTTGAAGACGATCGAGACCGTCCAAGTTATTGATTTCGAGGGGTTTGCAAGCTGTCTAACTGCCAATGATCTGGAGTTTACGACGGGAGAACGATACGAACTGTTCGACTTGATGACTCAGGAGGGCGATGAAAGTGTCATACCCAGTAAGAAAATGGTGCAGCTTATCCTGGAAGCCAAGTATCTAAATCCTGTATCGACAGGTTAAGTAATACAGTCTTAAGCGGATAAAACAGGTTTAGCGAAGTAATGTATTGATTCCCATTGCATTTGACCGATAGGAGGAGAGTTTAGACGTCCTTGCTCTATGGGGGGGGTGGAAGATCAAACACCATTTCATCCGCGACGTTCCTAACCGAAGTTAACAAACGACTGGTTCAGTCCCCCTGCTTGCTGTTGAGGTGGTCGCTGCTGCTGCTGCTGCTGTAGTTGTTGTTGTTGGAAGCCTCCCTGATGTTGTTGTTGTTGGTAGCCTCCCTGATTCATCTGCATTCCCATCGGGTTCATTCCCATCGGCGGACCCTGGAAACCCATCGGAGCAGCGCCACCTATATCAGGCACCTCAAAGTTAATACTCACCACCACTATTAAAAAATAACAAATATACACATACCCATCATCATGCCATTCTGCTGAGCGCCGAACATTTGGTTCTGCATGGGATATCCCATCATATTAGGCTGTCCCATCATGGGGTTCATGAAGCCTTGAGGTGCGCCCATAGGCATACTCATTGGCATATTCATGCCCATAGGTCGTGGAGCCATCATGTTCATCCCGTTCATCTGCATGCCCATCATAGGTGCCGGTGCCATGCCTTGTTGAGGAGGGAACGCGTTCTGTTGCTGTTGAGGAGGGAAAGCGTTCTGCTGTTGAGGCTGCGTCGACGATCCGAAGCTCGCCATGATGTTTGCCATCTTGTTCACATGTTGGTCGGCCTGCGTCGGAGGCTGCGGGGCAAAAGCGTCCTTAAAACCGGACTGGGCATTGCTGGATCCTCCGAAAGAAGCCCATTCGTCCTGCTTAGGGGCAGCAGCAACAGGTGCAGCGTCCACTAAGCTTGGAGCAGGTTTAGACTCTGGCACAGGGGCACTGAATACGTCAAACGATAAAATATCCTTAGTCACTGCTGGGTGCGTAGGGGTGGCCTCTCTAGACGCAGTACGGGATCCATGCCGGGAACTAGTGCGTTCCTTGTCTTTACGTCGCTGACGTGGCTCTTCCTCTTCATCTGAGCTGCTGTGCTTCTTCCTACGCGCTCCGCGGTCCTCACTCTCCCTTGGAGCTTCGCCCGCAAAGCGTTTGCGTTCGTACTTGTCTCTAATCCACATTTCCTTGTCTCTAACAGACGAGTGTTCGGTCGGAATACGGTAATCCCGAGGCACGTTGGCCTCGTAGTAGGCCTTAGCTCGGCCGTTGCCCCAGCGCTGCATCTGTTGCACTTGATCCGACGTCCACGAATCCAGATTCACACTACGTACGAATGTTAAGTGGACGCCAAGACTGCGGTGGATACCCGAACACGCGATGCAGATGAAGACACCGAGGTTAATTGAGGCCCAGCGAGGCCCACGGCAGCCGCAGTCGGCGCAGAACTTGTTCTCCTCAAGCTTCATCAGCTCATTGAGCTGCTTCTTAAGCTTCGTCTGGTCATCGGGTGCACGGGCGCCACCAGAACGACTCATCGTTTGCGTAAGGGGGCGAGATGGCGAGTGAGGCTAATGGGGGTGCGACGAAGATGCAAAAAATAGAGCTGAAACTCCCTCATATAAAGTGAGTATGGATTCTTTAAACTGATATACAAATTTAAACTTTGTCATGGGATTGGCAAATTTGATATGGGTAGCTGACGTGGCATTCTAATTGACGACGGAGTGTTGTGCTGCATGTTTGGGTGGATGTCACTTGATCGCACATGTTCTGGACGAACTCGTCCAGAGAGTCGATGGATGAGGAGAATTGCGACTTTATCCCAGCGGTGAAAGGTGTCGAGACGATGACGGTCATTTGGTCAGAATTGGAATTACTGAGGACCGTCTCTAGTTGCAGAGATGGCTCTGCCGCTACTTGACTTGGTTGTTGCAACAATTTCTCCAAGCTTGGGATCGAATGCAAGTGTCGATGCCACGTGACGGGGTGGAATCCGTAGCAGAAGCTTCGATTATTGATAAGGTTCGTGTGGACCGAGCGGATTCCCAAAGGTGATAGGTCGGCGAATGATACGAGATTGTCATTGCACGCCAAGGATGCACGCACACTAGAGAACGCTGGGGTGTGTTGCGCATTCATGTGGACAGCTCGAAGCCAGAACCCCGTACTCACGTCTTCCAGACCGTTCATACTGCGTAAACGCCAGTAATTCTTGGCGATAAATCGCACTCCTGCCATTGAGACGACGTAGTGAGGTCCGACTGCGTACGGCAACAAATTCCGCATCGAATACTGATCGCTGGGTAGATAATACGGACTGTTCCCGTCGCGAATTGGCTCTTGCTTGTGTGCAAACTTCACGGCCCAAACTTCGCCAAAATACAGTGGGCGTTTTTCTTGGCGTAGATTCTCCATAAGTTGATCGATTTTCAAGTAAATGTCATCATCCGCGAGCATGACAAACTTTGTATCGGGAAATTCTACCTCAGCTAAGTGCATGAACGACTTCACTTTGTCAGATAGACCTCTATACGAGTCGGTACATTCTAGCTCCTCTGTGAGTAAGTCTCTATAGACAGCTCTCTCTTTTGCGATGGCCTGTAAAACGCGCCTTCGCTCACCTTCATTCTTCAAATCTATGAGACTAGGCTCACCGCCTAAGAATAATACCTTCACATCGAGAGGAAGCATGGCTGGGTTTGCCCAAGTATCTCGAATAGCTTGTCTGCGAGAAAAGCCCTTGACGACCGCCGTCTTGACGCCAATCACAAGCATAGGACTGTTAGTATGCGAAACATGAGAGCGCGGCAACACAATATTATCGTCCTCGAAGTCTTCAATCTCCACTTGTCGCTCCATCTCTGCCCACTGCAAGAGGTGGACGTCCTTAGGAAAATGTTGCTCTTTTTGACTCCTCTCGACCAATTTTCTATTGCGCAGGTTGAATTCACCTGAGCTTTGTACTGTGAATGAGATGCTCTTGGCTGTGTGATAACGAGCTTCGCCGGACGTGTCTGTAATATACGCCACTGCCGTGTAGTTGCCTTCCGGTAGCAAATTGAAGGTCATCGGCGGGCCGCCGGGCGCCTTGCATTTGTTCCACAGTCCATTTAGCTCCACACAAAAGCTTGCGTCTGCATAGTAAGCTTCATAGTCTCTTGTATTCCTCGCATCAATCAGGAATCTTATCTCAATGGGCAACACCTCCACCGCTCCTTCCATTGGCTTGGCGAGCCGGAAACTCGTCAACGGATCGTCATACACAGCTCCACCATTTCTCGTACACTTTGAACCTTCAGTATAACCGTCTGATGGCAATAGCAGCGCAGAATACGCTCGTAACGAAGCGCAGAGAAGTCCGATGAGGAGCAATGCCGGAACTCCCATTCGTGATTAACCTTTCAAAGATACCCTTCCGTAAGAATGTTTTAAAACAATCTTTTGCTCCATGTAAACTACCTAAATACGGGACAGCAATTGAAAATCGACCCGTACAAGTTGAGCATATCTATGAGCTCGCTTATCACCTTGGCCACGCCAGTGTATACTTGAGACTCTACGTGGCTGCTAACTACTTCTTCTTCCCTTGTTTCTTTGACTTTGGTTTTGTCGCCTCTGGTTGCTTCTTCGGTGACATGCCTGGAATCGGTCGAGGAGCTGGAGGTGGCGATGGGGCAGCAGTCTGTGGCTTCCAAGCTTTCCCCACACTGCCGTTCGTTGTCTTCTGTTTTAATCCACTGGAGCCTTTTGCCTTAATAAACGCAGCATTGGGAGAGGGTGGTGTGGGAGCTGACGGAGGTGGGCGCTTGTTTGTTCGGATGTAGAGCAGCAGATACGCCGTTTCACTGAGAGCTGTAGCCTCCGAGATAGACGTCACATGCTCGTCATCATAGCGGAACCATTGGTCCTTGTTGTCCCGACATACACACGTGTAGTGTCCACCTATCACGAACTTGCCAAGATGTGATACCACAGCGAATAGCTCGTACATCGGAGGCGTAGAGAAGCCAGCGCCACTGATAGCTGCCGCTCCAGGGACGTCCATACCGTTCTCCGCACGACATGTAGTTGACATGAACTGCGTCGGGAATTCCAGGAACGGTGGGTACTTGACAAACTGCTGAAGCTTCACAGGTCCTTGCTCCGGATGATAAGTAAAACGCTTGACGCTGAGAGTCAAGACGACTGGGAGCGACTCGACAGTCGTGAACTTCTTCATCGTGGGGATCTGATTCGCATCTTCGATCACTTCAACATCAAACGATTTTCTGATCATATCTTGGATCGTTATGGGAGCGCTAAGAGGCTTGGCCAGGCCGTATACGCCTGTAACAAACGACGGATCCTGGGTCTCATAGTCAAGGTTCAAGTGTAAGCAGTGGAACGGTTCCACAGTGATCGAGCTCTGTCTCTTGCCATTTTGCTTGAGCTCCGAGCGCAGCGCTCCCTTGAACAGCCAATTAATTGGCGACCGGATGGTATCCACAGGGTTCTGACGCAGTACACTGCTCTTGCCCTTCTTCCCGACTTCAGCCCAGCCGTCGTCAAACGCTTGGGCGTTTTCGAATGCCACATCAGCTTCAGCTGGCTTAGCTGCGGTGGAAGGTCTTCGCTTTGTCTGCTTTTCACATGAACTAGGCAGCTCAAGGCCGCTCTTCTCGTACTCAGTGTGTAAGTATTCCAGAAAGAACTCCAAGAACTCGAGCGCGTCTTCCTGTTCACCTCGCATCTTCTGGAAAGCACTCAGCACGTCCATGAAGTAGCCGCTGATTCGAATCGCCTGCGGGGTCTTGCCGTGCATGTCATTAAGGTTACGCTCGCCATTGGCAGCCTGTAACTGCACTACTCAATTAAACAATAAAAATACCCGTTAGCAAAAAATAAATGTTTAAAACAAATTGCTACGCGTACGTTGTGCCAGAGTCGGTTCCTCGAACTCTCGTGTGAACGCCACCATGTGACGCCAGGCCTTGAACGTCGACGTACTCGCCAACATCTCCGCTGTCGGAGGAGAAGTCGACGAAATTTCAGCCAGTAAACTGCATAGCAATACAGTATAAGTACCCTCTGTCCAGCTTATCCCAGCTATGGGCACTGCAACTCACTTTAAGAACGGCGGACAGGCCAGCACAGACTGCATAATGACGTTCTGGAAGCAAGTATTGCCCTGGTTCACCAAGCCTCGCTTCTTCATCTCCTTGGCGGGGCTTGATACGTCCAGATGCTTTAAGGTGTTTTGAATGGCCTCCTCAAATGGCAGCGGCTTGGTCGGATCCTTGGCCACTTCAGCATCGGTAGCTCCATTGACACCAGCCGCAGCGGCCCATGGGGCGGCAGTTCCGCCCCACGCAGGCTTGGTCTGCGTCTTGGGGGCTCCTAACGCCTCAGCCCACGACTTGGGGGTCTCCTGGGTCCTGGCTGCCTCCTGTTCCTCCGGATTCTTCATGTCTGCGGCAGCTGCGCGGGGATTGAGTGAGACTCGGAGACTCCATACATAACCAGGTCTTCTCTCTGCCAACAGAGAGAATGAAGGTGCGTACCATCCTCCAGCGCTTTCTGCGCTTCCTCCAGTGAGAAATCCCCAAACGTGATCACCACGTCGTGGCCGTGTGCTTCAGTAGCGGACGCCATCTCCACTCTTGTACCTGAGCCAGTGTTCATGATGAACCGTACCCTCTTGGAACGGTTATTGACCATCACTCAGCAGAGCTAGAATCAGAATTCTGATTGCACCAGGCTCAGACTTTCTGCCAATCCAAAATTTGATGTTATTCTTGGAAAAATAAAACGTATTTTACGCTCTTTTGTACTAACGTTAATACTATTGCTAGTACATGTACAGCTAGTACCGGCCTTTTTGTACTGTTCAAATCGAGAAAAGAAGTACGATGGTCTCCTCTTTCGATTGGTGCATTCATATTAACAAAACGTGGAAAATTCATTGAGCGACACAGTAAAAGATGCCTCCATGAAAAAATAATTTTGGCAAAAAATCTTCTTAGACCCCTGGAAACGATTTTTCTTATTGAATCGATTGTACCTATATTTTGGACTTTTGGGTACATCATTTTTATTTTGGGGTTTGGGGTATAGGATGGAAGGATCATTCTGATTTACTGCTATCATTCCGCTCACGGATTGACCTAAGTCTCTTTCTTCGCTCGCTTGCGGCTTCGGGTCCCAGTCTTCGACTGCGCTGGTGAAGCTTTCGATACGTTTGCACGGTCTTCATTCTCTTCTTCCCTAATAACAACGGCGATCTTCGCTTCATCACGAGCTGCAGCGTCTCTTTTTTTTCGAGGCGCTTGCGCTTCGACGTGCCTGCGTAGCCTCCTTCGCGTGGCGCTTTTCCTCAGCAGTAGGGGCTGCATACAGGGGATCCGAAGCAAACTCAGAAGGGACGTAAGGTCTTACCTTGTTGTACATTTGCTGTATTTTCTCGAAGTTCGGAGGCGGTGGTTGTAGAGGCTCTTAGTGCGCAGCTACATGTAGTAGATTTTGCACTTTTGCGCGCTCGTCTGCATGCCGTCAAAAGGCCGACGAAGGTCTTGGTCCACAGGCAGGTCTGCAGGACCAACACGGCAGCTGACAACCCCTGGCTGCTTCTTTCTCATTGTGAAAATCTGGTAGCGCTGCACCCCCTAAAGATCCTTATAGGCCTCTGTTACGGGCGTTCGAAACATCTTCATCATCTTGTTCTCTTTTGGAATATGGACAGGGGCAGAGCTAGACGAAGGGTCGTTGATAACACCACGCCTCTCTGCAAACACACCCTATCAGTGGCAGGTAGTACGTGAAAACTAGCTTTTCCCCAGTACCCCGACGCCGCACTGCGGTGTCTGTCTTCATTAGCATCGCCAACGAAGTCAGAACGCGCTGCTTCTTCTCCTGGGTGGTCATGTTTGATGTCGAGCGCAGGCAATCCTCACGTTCAGCAGCCTTCCCCTGGAGGCAACGATCGTCGCACTTGTCTTGCTAGATCAAGCAGACCACTTTGTCGTGAAAGTCCTCGCCAAACAAATTAATGCTTCTGTTCTCAACAAACTCATTCAAAAACTCCTCGTTTGACAGTCCGTCCTGAACCTCTTCAGCACTTGAATCTGCGCTTGATCCTTCGGAGACAGGCTTCCACACAGTGTTGTCGTAATCCATGCCACTGCGGCCTTCCGGATCCGGTCTCAGCGACCCAAGCAGCCTTTTTTTACCAGAAAGGGAAACGCCCTGCTCGGACAACACACAGGGGCTTGCATGACAGCTGGTGGGTGGTGTCGGAATGGAGGAGAATGGGGGGGGCGGACGCGTGTCCATTGCTCGGGATCGCTTTCGATACACCTCGAGAAAATGGGTATCTGCACCCATTTTCTCGAAAAAAATGGGTGCAGATACCCATTCGAAGATTGGCCAGTCAAATTCGAACTTAAGTAATAAATAAAATTTACTTAAGTTCGAATTTGACTGGCCAATCTTCGAAGCCGATTTTCTCGATAACTTCAAATGGGTCGAAAGGATCAGCTCGTTTGACGCCGTCTCATATATAGCAGTGCAACACCTGTTACAGTGAGGCTGTAAATTACGGGGTACATGTAGACTGAACAAGTTTTGGTTTCTCATCTAGAGCTTCTGCTTTGGAGAAAGCTGTTTCTATTTGCTGCTGTACCTAAGTATTCCTGAAACCGGGTTTGGTCGTAGGTTACTCCTTGGTAATGACTACCAGTGTCCTTTTACTAAAGGACCAACGCGAAGGGCAAAGTGTCTGCTGATAAAACTTCCTTCAGCAACTGCAGTGGTCTCGTTCAGGTGTTTCGGTAGTAACATTGCAATTCTTGTGACGATACTCGCAGAAGTCGGATATTATCGCGAAAGGGCGACGAGCAAAATTAATTATTGTGATCAAAGCAAGTGTATTGAAGTTCCGCGTAGCAGGGCTTCCCGATAACAGCTCTCACTGCTTGTGAATATCGTCGACAGCAGTAGCCGCGCTTCAAAAACGCCTGAAATCGGGTTAATGGTCGCCGTTGGGTTAAGCCTCAAAAACTTAATAGTCTCGAGGTGCATAAGCAACGTACATTGTCGGTGATTCGACAGCATGTGCTTAGCAAAGCTGAATAGCCGCTCCACTGTTGTACGTGGGTAAGATGTACTTCACCCCAGGAAAGTTTTTTTTGCATCGTGCGCTCCTTCTTGCGCGCAGTCAGGACTTGGTCGGCGAAGCCTTGTCTACGTCCTAGGGTTGCGCTCGCCTCTTCGTGGTGAGCGTCAATGGACGGGGTCGTCTCGAATGGTTACAGCATGACTCATGCCATGAGCTCTTGATCGTCGGTCACCTCCCCTACTCGTCCCGCCAGTGCCAGCACGTACGCTTCTTCAAAGTCAGGGTCCTTGAGGGTTGCCGCATCTATGGCAAGATACTTATCGGCACTTCTCAAAAAGCTCCGGATCCACCAAGTGGTCATGCTCACGAGCAGAGCCAGAGGGGAAAATCCGCGCCGAGCATGCGCGTATGACCCAAGGCGAGGCCCGCGTTCCCGATAGTCCCACGACTAACACCCGTATCTCGCGTCCGTGCCCATGAGGCACGTAACGGCACGACGCCGCCTTTGTGGTGGCACCGCAGGTGCCGCCAAAGTGATCCCCCTGGACTTCGCTACCTCGTGTAAAACGGGGTACGTAACCCTAAGTGTACCCTGGTTACATGAAGTGTGACACGTCATACTTCGGGATATTTGGTACAAAGTACCAAGGTCGTCCAAAGCCAACCATTGGTTAATGACATTGCATTTCTATAGGTGACTTATAGTTTGTGTTAAACCCAAGCTTTATCTACCTATAAATATACTCAGTTTACATTCTACCTTAATTAGGTCACTTTGCTCTCTTTTGAATAAAGAGGGGACCTGTGAACTGCCGTTCACTGAGAGTTTGTATACTCTCGGAAGCTAACTTTCTCTAGCGCAAGGTGCTGTGTGACCCCGTCAAATCGTGCGCGAGGCATGACTACCTCGATCAAGCTCTACGCAGTCACGTGGGACTGCGACACGGACAATCAATATCAAGTGGTGGAAGGTGCTCCTGAGGACGAGTCAAGTGCTAAGAACAACGCAGCAGAGGGGTCATAGCATATGGAGAATGATAGCACTTGTGGAGCGCTAGGTACCATTGTGCGGACTGGATTGAGATCAAGGTAACGTAATATCGTTTGCTAGGTTAGCTGCTTGTATCTAGCTAAGCTAGTCAAGCGACAATCATGTTCCATAACAAAAATTACTAATCGCCGACGGGGTGCTTTTCAAAGAGTGCGTCAAAAATGTCGCGCATATCGAGAAGCGTTATCTTGTCATCTTGCATATGCAATGCTACTGAAATCACGCTTAAAATATATCCCTCGCTGAAACGTGACATGGCTCGCGGCGGTCTAGTTGACTGCATCCACTTTGACAACAGGCGCCAGGGCGAGCAACACTCACTCGTAGTGGCCGGCGAGCAACACTCACTCGTAGTGGCCGCCGAGTAACGTAATGCGCAGACAGAAAGGGGCACCCATGCAACATGTACACCAGTTGGCTCTTTTAATCGATGAATGTTACAAGCGTTCCCAAGCTGATGCAGTGGTTGTCATTGTAGAGATGTAGCCTACGTTCTGCTTCAGCACATATCTGAGTAGGTTTGGGTAGCCGGTCTTCACGTCTTGCTAACGAGCAGTACCACGCTGCTAGCGATACTGCTTGGTGGGCTCGTCCTTCTTATCGAGCAGTGGCTTGAAGAAGTAGTTGAAATTTTTTCTTGGTTTAAGCGGGGTTACTGGGTCCATGGTTACGTTAGGAGTGAGAAAAAGAGGATACCCTTTTGTGATTGTTGTTGCGTTATCCAGCACCAACCAAGATAAGACTCAACCGATGACGTAAATATGCAGCATTGGTGGTCATAAGGGACGTTGGGAGGCATCGTAGCAGGGTGCTCAGTAAATAGTCGGACAAACACCGGTTCGATCCTGTGCAAATAATGTTTTGACGATAAAACAAGTTTTCGAAAAACAATTACTGAAAAAAAGAATTGAATCTCCAATATAATCATTATTTTAGAATGTTTGGTCTCTATTGCGGCGACTGTGCCTGTTTTAACCCCATGTTCGGCCTGTTCAGTGTATCCGCTGTTCTGATCCACCGGATTGCAATTATCTCAGTATCAAACCAACGTGCAGATTGGTGAGGCCGCTGAAATTGTTGCAGAACACAATAAATGTGATCCATTATCCGCTAAAATACACAGTATAATTATGTAGAATCAAATATATAAGAAAATGAAGTTGATTGATTATACGTTGGTCGATTTCACCTCGTATCGATGACGAGATCCTTAATTGTCACTATCGTAACCTCCTAATCCGCAGTAAATATTGTGTTCACGTCGTCGTTGTCCGCGCTATTGTCAGTGAAATAGTTTTAGAGCGCTGAAATGATGTATAGGCAGCCTTCGTGGCTCATACCACAGAGCGCAGTCGCCGGTATTGCGAGTTCTTCGACGAGCCGAACTCGGCTAGCTGCTCCGCGAAAGAGTCGACTTGGCGTTCCGAAAACTTTGAAAGATATTCGAAAGACATTCGAAAGTTTCGGGAAGCCAAGTCGGCTAATTTCTGTCGCATTAGACTTGCCTGAGCTAGCGTTTCGGGAGCTTTTGCAATCCTCGATCGATTTGCATTCATTTAAGCGATACAGTACAGCAGACGTGGTGCGACTACCTAAGCTTATAAACTAGAAGAGAAGGGGAGTAGATGTCTATACGCCATGCATCAGAAGCATACATTTACATAGTAATTTTCATGCATATTACAAGCATAAAAAACGTTTCTGAAGCAATCCGTCGAGCTAACCCGCTATCCGGCCGAATGGCCGGACAAGAAACACCAGACTTTACCAAACCTGCTCAGTAAATTCAAAGGCGGATCTACTAGTCCGCTAAGCTCCAGAATTCCTCCAAAGAGGTCAAAATTTGTGCAATTCATGACTGCTCAACGAGCCCTTAGATTGGCATCCTTCTACAGTAGGCGTATACTTGTAGTCCGTCCCATCAACGTCCAGCACGAAAGGCAACCCCGTCGCATGTTACATATCGCGTGAGCTGATCCGTTAGCACAAAACTTGTCGATTTGCTACTGGTCCGTTTGTATTTATAGGGTGCGCCAGCATCGCCTGGATTTGGCGGTGAATCTTTACCAGTCCGACTTCGACTCAATTGCTATAATGCGGAAGCTGCGCTGTCTGATTAGGCCCACCTCACTCAGGTAGTGTTGCTCTCACGTTGCGATATGTTGCACGCTTCTTGCGGTAACAGCCGGAATGTATTAGCTAATTGTTTTTGCTAAAATAATCTTTTCATAGCAATTACTAGAAAAAAGACAAATTTGCGGCCGATGATTTGCCAAGCATCAAGATGGGGCTCAACATTCAGGATGATCAAGCGCTTCTTCAAGATTTAGGCAGCGCTGGACACCGACGACGACAACATCGTTTTGCTCATGTCGACGCGTCGTCCGGAACAGCGCCTGCAAGATCGCCTCGGTGAGCTGGCAGGCTTTCAGTACCAGTGACGGATGTTGTGTCAGTGGTTGAATCGTCTGTAGTGATGCAGGCATGAATATAACCTGTAGCACCTGATAAACCTGCAAGAAATAGTCTGTTATCACTAAAGTTAG